CCTTCCTAAAGAAAGATAGGTGCGAGTTTCCAAAATCGAGTCCAACTGTAATTATACTGTAACACACTTCTAGGTTAATGTGTTATTTCGAGAACTGTTGGGCAGTTTTCCCATCAATATTTGAATTCGCTTTCATTTCCTTCCGCTAGCAACGACAGTTTGTATTTCCTGCCAAGTGTACGTGCACGCCTTGACTTTTAATTTTTGAGAGATATGTTTTTTTCCGGTGAATTGGATCGAGATCATTATTATCAATGAAAAGGAAATTTCATTGAATAATCGAGAAAAATTATAGTTGAAATTGTTGCCATGTCCGCAGATCGATTAACAATCGAATTTTTTCGAGTAGGTAATAGCATAGAAAGAGAAAGATTAATCGAATATTCTTTAAGACAAGTCTTAAGGATTCTAAAAATAAAATTGTTAACAAATTCTGTTTGTAACATGGTCGGCAAATCCCTGAACGTTTCATTTAAATTTATTATATAAAACTTTATTTAAACGAAATATTTAAAATTGTTTACGGTAGAGTTAAATTTTTTGCCCAAAATGTATCCACGGCTAGCTCAACTTTACTAAATTACCTTGTTCGAATTCAGCGAGTAAAACGGGCTTTATTTGATTTTTAGCTGTAAATCCTCTGTTACGCCTTGGGCCACCTTCAAAGCAAGTAAATCCACAATAATCAAAATATTGAAAATAATTCGATTTCATCCTTCCTCTACAGCCTTCAAACTTAAAATCTATTAAACACAATTTTACGATACGATGTGTGGCCCCTTAAATTTGTACATGAAAACAGAATATCAGTTTCCTCTTAACACAGTAATTGAAATCTCTAATTCACATATTTGACTCAGTTAGAAGACTTTCATAATTTAACGTTGAACTTAAAAATGAAAAACTGGACTACTCCTGGCCGAGTCTCTACACCAATCTTTTTTACAATGAAATAATTTTGTCTTTACAATATAACAAAAATACAAAATAATCAGATCGAATCGTTCAGGAATATTTCTATTTTTTACGGTTTCAATAATAAAACTCCTGCATTTAATATAAAAATACACGTTATTTGTAAGAATTTTTCCGCTGAGTTTTGTTTTCCGGTGGATTAATCTAACGAATTCTGGTCGATTTATAATCACATATAGCACAGCTTTCACGTGATCCAAAATTCTCTTGGCATCCCGTGGAAAATATTTTAATCACTTTATATTATATTATTATAAGCCCGTACAACAGCGCTCCGTGTTTTCGAACTTGGTTTTTTTAACTACCCGCATAAAAGTTGATCTCACGAGCACGTATCTTTTGGCACATAGAAGAATACCCTTCACTTTCTTTCTCCTTGACGCATCCTTACTTGCTTTTCTAATTTTTTCTCTCCAAATTTGAAATTTGAAATTCTGCATCTCGCAGGGATCCGCAGATCTTTTTTGACTGACCAGTTCTGGTCACGTACACCCCATTACGATAGTAGTATCTCTTGCAATCGCCGACAGACTGTCGCCAGTTACTTTCCAAACCCATTAATCTTTCACTACACACAAGGAAACCAGTGACTCAAAATAAAATCGTCAATTTTATTACGAATCTACGGATTTTTCAAAATGTAGAATGAATACTAATTTTGTTCGAAACCGACCTTTTAATATGAACACCCCGTATACTCCTTAATACTGTAAAAGTACGCAACCTTAACAAAATTTATAAGAAATCAACCCCTGAAAAGTTCCCCTTACAAGTTCTAAAGATGTAGATTCTAAGAAAATTCCCTGGTTCTAATCTGGGTTCCGGCATGGATATTTGTATGTAAAAAAGACGCAAAGAAGGAAAGATCTGTTTACCGAGTGAAATACATTTTTTAGTAATCTTGATATGTAAACGAACACATTGCAAATGGGCTGCCTAAAATTTTATTAAAATTATTGCAATTAATATTTCTGTCTGTTTCTATCACATGAAAAGCGCGCATGGGCACTCTCTTCCATTCATGTGTATTGTGTACACCAAAAGTAGCTGTTACATTGCTTCCCTCTCTCTCACGCGGAACAGTAATGTAAGAGAATGCGCATGCGCTGTCTCCATGTCATAAAAGCAGACAGAAATATTAATTACATTAATTTTAATTAAGGGTAGTCTTGATTTAATTTTTTAGGCAACCGATTGGCAATGTGTTGGTTGCTAAAAAAAAAGTATTTCACTCGGTAAACGGAGGAGTGAAGGTTGATCTTGTACTATAAGATAGTTGGACTTTGTTACAAAGAGGAATACGAATCGACGATCAATACAGTACAACAATAATTATTACAAGACAGCTAATTTCTAATAAAGCTTCAAAAATGGTTCCAAATTCGATTGGTCTCATATCGATCAGCAATCGATTTTTGTAATAAGACCAGCAGTAAGCAAAGATTAGAAAACCACAGGAAAATTTTGGCAAAAAATTTTAATAGAGCTAAATACCCTTGTTTTGAAAATAGATCGAATGACGAACTTGTCCCAGATCGATCGATAAAAACATAACTGCTCATCAGTGTTTGTATACACCTTTTCAATAAAGGGGGACATAAGCCTGTTATATTAACCCCACGCGCAGGCGGTCGATACATATAAACAAAGAAAGTCTTAAAAGTACTTTTCAAACAATAATTCCTTAATCTGGTTTGCGATATTAACGCGCTTTTAGCACTCATACGTAAACGCCCGCTGAAAGCTTCAAGAGACTCCACCACTTTTCTACTCCATTGAAAGAATGACAAACAGACAAACAGGCTTAATTACTAATTATCAATGCGATGGCTGTTCAAACGGGAAACACTTTGAGATTTATTACACAAAAGAACATTCTAACAAGATCTCGTTAGGCACTACAAACTGCTTTTTCAACAACATTAACTTTTCACAAAACATTGACTTCTGCACTGATTAATCCAATATCCACGAAACAGCGTTTTTAAACAAACAGAAATGACAATTACTTGGCAAAATTAGCGTACAAAGAAACACGCGCTCTTTAACCAATAGTGACATGAACCGCCTCCTCCCTTCCAACTTTTTTATAATTTAAGGTAAACCATCACCTCAATAGAAGACGTCGTGCGTCCCAACCGACGCCGAAATTAAGGTGCAAAAAAATCGTATACCTGCAAAACCAGATATCAATGAAATGCGCTCGACCAGATGTTCCTATTTTAACTAACGCAATTTTCACATCTTATAATTGAAATAAACGCATTTACACGATTGATAAAATTTAAACAAGAAATTAATCAATTAAAAACAATTCTAAAATGGCAAGGTACACACTAAAATAACAAATTCCAATGAAATAAACCAGTTCCATTCTTACCTATTTGTAAAAAATCCTTCAGATCTAAATTAAATTAAATCATTCGTACCTACAGGATGGCCTATTATTATCTTCGATATTATTTCAGCCTAAATATCGTCCACCTGACACTGTCTACACAATAGTAATGAACCCGACGGTAGTTAATTTGGGCGATACTTATCAACAGAGAATAGAGACTGCATTTCGCGAAAGTCAAGACCTTTCTGAGACCCTTTTGTTCCTTGTGCCATGTCTAAACTTTTTAAAAATGTACAGGGCTACTCAAAACTATTAGAACGTACAGGGTGTCCCATTAAAGATATTGAAAATGTATCTTGAATTCAATCAGTTGCTACATTTTCAGTCAGTACAAATAAAATGCTAAATCTTTTATTTGAAACATTTTTCATGTTCCCAAAATTAATAAAAATAAATAGGGCTCAAAATATACTCAGAAACCCTTTCGAGTGACTTAATCAAATATATAATAAGACCTTGTCTAAACTTACGATATCAGAAACCTTTAGGAAACCCAAATAGCAACATCTCAGAGGGTGGTAAAGTTTTTAAGATTCATATTGGTCTTTTACATCGCTCCAATGTCTGATTTATGATTATATATTGAACTAAAACATGAATCCCCGGACCTACATGTACAAAATAACTCCCACGCTGATTTAATTCGCTACTTAATTGCACACGAGGCGAATTTTACGAAGTACTATTGTAGTTCTGTGGTGTGAACAACGCTATCGTATTTCATAACAGTTACACTTGAACAACGTAGATATCTGATATACAAAATTACCTTTCACAATTCAATGATTACACAATCTTTTCTTATGACAAATGATTGATTGTTACACTTTTTTTGGTTTTGCAGATGATTTATTGCTGTATAATTTGAATCTATTCTTCCTTTTCACAACTATTAAACTAACACAATCATATTACTAAAAGTTTGGGGGCGGATCCCAGTTAAACAAATTTTGGCTACACGCGATCATGATCTAACTGTGGTTTTAATTCCCATGGTTTCTGAATAGAAGATGGGATTTATTCGTTATTCTTCAAATTTTGAGCGATTTGATCCTGTAGCTGTGGATTTTTTTGCACTGAAATGTCATCTAATCCAAAAACACCCTTATAGCGTGTCTACTAAAAAGAATTTCGAAGACCGATTCCAGTTTTAAAAAATACATACAGGCTAAAACACTCTCACTCTAGATTTTTGACTGTTTTGAACTTTCAGAGTGACAAATCTAATTGTTCTTGAACATCAGGAACTGTTAAATTCAACTCCAAAATATCTAGATGTATGAGCTAAGCTGTAAACCTTTCTTGTACGACCGGGACAATTTCCTATTTATTTAAAAATTTCTTTGTTTACCATAAAAATCAAGGCTGTACATATTGCGATAGGCGTTTGTTTGGTAATACACAACTCAAAATTCGATATCAAGATATTATTATACAATGTGTCTGAAAAAATCCGATACTGTTTGAGAAAGCAACAACAATCAGAGCAAACAAAACGTAAGCTGGTGATTTCAATGCAAGGTTAGACAGCGCACCATCCATTCATTGACCTACTACTGTAAATAATTGCGCAATCGATGCATTTATTATTATGATTATGTTAATTATAATCTTTTGATTACAGAAATTCAATGTGCTCATCCAGCAGTGCCGATCAATGCGAAGTTATCGTTAAGCTCCGACACCCTCCTGCCGGGGACGATCGCCACTTATATCTGCGATGAGGGTTACGAGACCTTCGGCAATACGTTGGCGTCTTGCTCGCCGTCGGGACAATGGATTGGAGAACTTCCCTTTTGCGGTACGTGTTATTCGTATTGTCCATTACATCTCATTCCGGCCTTCGGTTTCACTCTTTAGTCGCATCCCTCAGGTGGCTAAAATATTTTCACCGACCACGAAATGAATATTTTGATAACACACAAATGAATTTTCGAAAAATTACCAGGTGGTAACATTTTAGCCTTATAAGTGTAATAAAAGAGAGAGGAACTCTGCTTTATAGGGTGTAGGAGAAGAAAAGAAGCATAAAAGACACAAAATGGAGCCGTTTATGGTCCCTATTTTTGATTGGTCAGTGCACATCTTAGCCTTAGACAATGAAGCCATGTAGAGATTTCTTGTAATGATAATTTATGTGCTCTATTTGTCTAACTATGTAACGAAGTCATTACGAAGCATACAATTAGAAGCGTATACCTATTTATTCTAAACTATTCTGTGTGAGTAACACCGCACGTAATAATTCTTTACCGTAGGTACATAAAAAAACGCAATCCATTAGAACGTTCTAGAAATGGTATAATAAAATTGTTAACAAGACTAAAAATTAAAGATCAAAATCACAAGGATTCTATTCGATTAATGCTTTGTTAACGGTGCGTCTTATTATTGAATAAATATAAATAAATACGTTTGCTTAACGTTAAAAAGAAGAGCATGGAGATCTTAAAAATAAAGTTGGAGCAATAGAAAGAAATGCCTTGCTTATTATTATACATAATGAAAGTTTTCAAAAATTAAAAAATTGGTGATTTCCAAAAATGAATGGGTTAATGGGCTATTACATAAGCAAGGGTTGAAACTCTCCTTCGTTAAAAAAATTCTGAACTAAAACTGTACCACAAAAAATGGATTATTGTTTGCCGTCGGCTAGCTTACCCTTGACTAAATTTTTGGCATTTTTGATGGTTTTACTTATGTTGTAACAGATGGTTACAATTAAAGGTGGTTCGTTAATTCTGCTCCGCGGAAAGGAGCCATTTGGTAATGTGTTGTAATTTCTCTTTATTACAATTGCTCGATTTCGGTGTTTTTTTGTTGCTGGTAAATGAAAATTTATTTTAAAAGCGTTAATCTGCGTACAGCCGTACACTCCGTTGATTGAGTATAATTTGAGAAAGTCATTAAGCTCTTAATAAGCACATGCAAAACAAGTTAAAAAGTAATCGTAAACGATTTACATAAAGCGCATTTCCACTTGCATTCATTTCCCATTTGTAAGATGCAACTTCTGTTAAAATCGTAAAAATCCGGCCACAAATATGAAAGATAGCGTTGCACATGGGCAATCCATTTTTGACGTGCTACTTCAATTTCAGTTTATGAGAAGAATTTCATTTCAATGCTTTTCTAAATAAGAAAGTTGGAACTGCGCATGCGCAAACCTAAATTTTAAAACTAATGTTAGATTTTCCTTTGTTCCAAGCGCCAAAGTATCAAATTTCACTTAAATGCTTCCATAGATAAAAAAAGTTGGCACTGCGCATGGGCAAAATAAAATTTTTAAACTGGCGCTAGATTTTCCTTTATTCCAAGCACCTATGTATCAAATTTCATTTAAATGCTTCCATAAATAAAAAAGTTGACACTGCGCATGCGCAAAACCAAATTTTGTGGCGTTAGATTTTCCTTTATTCCAAATGCCTATGTATCAATTTCATTTAAATTCTTCCATAAATTTGGCACTGTGCATGCGCAAAAACAAATTTTGAAACTGGCATTTGATTTTCCTTTATTCCAAGCGCCTATGTATCAAATTTCATTTAAATTCTTCCATAAATAAAAAAGTTGTACTGCGCATGCGCAAAACCAAATTTTGAAACTGGCGTTAGATTTTCCTTTATTCCAAGTGCCTATGTATCAAATTTCATTCAAATACTTTTATAAGAAAAAAGTTTGCAATTCGGTTTATAAATGGCCGAGATGCGAAAAGGGCACTGTGAATTTTGAATCGATTCGACTCAACTTTTGGCATTGCGTATTATATGGCTAAGGCTATGCCCATATTGAATTTCATGCAATTCAGTTCATAACTAACGGAGATGTAAAAGCAAAGCAAAAGCAAACAAAATTATCGTGCACACGGACAGATAGAGGGACAGACAGGCACAGGAACAGACGGACAGACCAACAGACAGACGACAGACAACAATATAAAATTATAAATGATCTCTAGGATGGTTAATAAACGGCAAAAGTGTAAAATTATGGAACATGTAAAAAACGGTTTGTTGGTTTTTTTACAATAACTTTTTTAGCAATAAACGCAGAAAAAATTCCTTCCTTGGTGCAAGCCTCGACATCATAACGAACCAAATAGCGAAAAAAGTAGAACGATAGCTCTGATAAAGAACTAGTAGCGTCGCAAATGTAGCGGACGGACGGACAAAGTGGCCAACAATAGCGCATTTTTTTTTTTGTGGAAATGCGCTAAAAAGATGATTTCAAGACATCTCCCACAATGATACCGATTGAACTAAGTTTATTGTTGAAACTATCGACAGTTTTAGTTACAATTTCACTACGTGAGATGATTTAAATACATGTATCCCGCGACTTATTTAATTCGCCACGAATCCCACGCAATTCTTGAGCAATTTTTTGAGTTCAGTTTTCAGTTGGCGCAAAATTTTATTCTTTTCCCAAGCTGCCCTTGTTTGTTCAAAAAATATAATTGGATTTCGCAACTAAACTCGATGTTTACATAGAAAATTGTAATTTAACGTCCTCTTTCTTAATTAAGTACTTGCGTTCTTTTCTTAATCGCTGAGAGATATCATCTATCTGTTAATTCAACTCTGAATGATCCCCTCTTTTAATTTTCACACCAACAATGGCGAATTAACTTAAAAATTGGCGATGTCCGTATTTTCTATTGGTTAGTATCTTTTGCGCCACCAATCCCGAACGGCTGTTAATCAAGCCCATCTCCTTTCAAACTTGCACGCTCGGTGAATTCTACGTTGATTTTATTTCATGATGAGTTTACTAATGTAATACTATACGACTCTTAAAACAGATGTAATCCTATCCCTATGCCCGTTATCTAGCCTTTTTTATTTATGAAGGTATTTAAATGAATAAAACCAAAACCAAATATAACGCCAGTTTCAAAATTTGGTTTTGCGCATGCGCAGTGCCAACTTTCTTATTATGGAAGCAATTAAATGAAATTTCATACATATACACTTTAAATAAAAGAAAAACTAACATCAGGTTTAAAATTTGGTTTTGCACATGTTATAGCCATACCCAGGAGCTCGTTTTCTATATTTGTTTAGTTTATTGAATTTGAAAAGCAAAAGAAAGTTTATTAAAAATTTTATAAAAAGTGCAGAAAGACTTCATAGAAATTTAGACTGAATGCATTTAAAGCCAAATGCATGCAATGCTTAAAAGTGACCAACGCAAAGGAATTTAAAAGCAACTCACACATTATTTCCCACTTGTCAATTGTGAAACACTCCGAAGTCTCTTGCATCAAGTAGACACATGAAATACATCGTTAGTTAGCCGGACCTCCCCCAGTCCAGAATGTATCTAAGGTTCTTGATACGGTAACTCTTAGGCTAAAGTTGTATATCGGGAAGAATGCCGCTAAGTAATTTTTCAATTTCGACATTTACCTCTGTACGAGCGAAACAGTTCATGCCATTTAAAAAAGACCAAAAGAAAAAATTAGCAAACACAAAAAATTGAAGTCAATCTAAATGAACTTTAACTGACCAATTTCACATAAATCAAAATAGGAATAACAAACAAGCAAATAGCAACCAAATTCAAGGGTCACCTACTCGCAGTTATAAGCAGCTGAAGTACACATTACAACTGAGCACATTATCCTTTGTTATGTACAGCAAAAATTTAGGTACATTAGAATTGAATTATAAAATTTGTAAAAATAAAACTGTACTCGCTGAAGGCAGAAAGTAAAGTGACGCTACATTTTACAATGACCCTGTATGAACTGTCCAAAAAGCAAACTCAGCAAAGCTAAATCAAGACACTGTTTCTTTCATATACAGACTAACATTGTTTAAAAGTTGCTGAAATAAGATTTTTGTAAAGTGATTGCATTATTTTTAAAGGTTAATGTATCTCCAGCGGTGTGTCTGGTGCCCGTAGCATCAAATTTGAAACTTTGAAACCAGGGTTTTTAGCCCATTTTCCAAAATTTTAATGTTTCATTTGCATCTGAGACATCCAGTGCTTTCCAAAACGTCTCACATTTTAATCACGTAGTTTCAACGGTAGGCCACTGACAAAACCCGATACTACACAAAACGGCCAAGGGCAAACGACAAAAGGTCACCGGTCCATGTTCCAATATACGCACAATGTACTTATCTAAATAACATAACACCTATTTATAAATTAAATTAATTTTTAGTGATGAGCAACTCTTATCTACGAAAGGAGAAAAACATGAGATAAACTTTTACCTTATCTTACAACACGTAAACTCTCAAAAATTATATAAACAAAATAAACAAATTAAAATGCGGATATATAAACAAAAATTAGACATCGCCATACTACATACATTTTACACAACAATATCTAAGATTCTTCGGATCATAATTCGACCTGTGTTTCGTAAAATTTCAGAATTTTGAGGAAAACTCTGATCCCTGGGTCGTAATTTAGTGCTCGATAAAACACACAATAGATCATTTACAGATGACACAAATTTATTTGAGAAAAATCAACCAATAAATGTATAAGAAAGAGAGGCACACCGGGCCTAAGTGCCACGCACCAGCGATCGATTGAACAAATTAATGAAATAAATAGTAATTGCCTTAAAGTGTCAATAATCCGTTAATAGAACGCACAAACAAACACAAAAACCAACTGATGTTGCTTCGGGAACTTTAATTCTTTGCTTTCGCTTTCTCGATTTAGACGAACAATTTGTTCGTTGCAATTACAGATAATAAAATGGCTTTTCGATGGTGGAAAAACATCACTTTCACTAATACGTGTGTTAGGACAGTTTCACCTAATATTGCGATAAAAAAACTCTTGTCGGAATGACCGGAGATCAATTTTAAAATAAAACAATGCAATTATTTACTGATTAAACTTATTTTTTTCACACGTAATTTAACTTTACAATAAAATAAACGAGGCAAGGGTAAAGTGAAACAGATGACTGTGCATTCTAATGACATCTGTCATTCTTATTTCAAATGGCTCGCGTAGTATGATATAAAATGACGTTCAGAACATATGACAATGCTGTTTCTATGGAAACGACTGCGACCTCAGAACCTGAGCTTGCTCTTTTTTACGTCTAAATTAAATTCAGAATTGCCAGAAGCTTTGCAATGATTTATATGCCTTCTGCTATAAAATACAGTTTTGAAGATGAAGGGAAACTAACCATCTCGCACAATCTTTCACTCAATGGTTAAACTACTTCGTCTCATGTCATGTGGCACTCGTCACACTGGAATAAAATGTATGGCTTACAAGTTCTTCGTTTGTTATATCTCGTATTATCGAATGCAAGTCATTAACTGTAATTGCTCTTGTTACAGGCACGAACGTCGCATTTCGGAAACCCGCAAATCAATCCTCCTCGGTACGTGGAGGAGGTGCCATAAACGCAAACGACGGAGAAAAAAGTACTGAACACGACGGAAAGCGATGTACCGAAACGCAAAAGGAGGTGAGCCCTTGGTGGTCGGTGGATCTTCTGCGTCCGTACGCCATAAAAGTAGTCAGGGTGACGACGAGGGGATGTTGCGGTCATCAGCCTCTCCAAGATATCGAGATTCGCGTGGGGAACAGCAGCACCGACCTGCAACGCAACCCGTTATGCGCTTGGTTCCCCGGAACAGTCGGTAAATATCTCGATTCGCCCACCTCCACGGACTTATGTTTCAATTTCCAGACGAAGGTGTAACCAAAACGTTCACGTGCGCCCGATCCTTGACCGGCCAGTACGTCTTCCTGCAGCTTGTGGGAGTTGAAGGTTCCCTATCGTTATGCGAGGTGGAAGTGTTTACAACGGAAGGTGATTATCTCTGTTCATAATCCTCGCGAATCTTGCCGCTTCGTGACTCTCTTAGAAACCACGTCCGGTCTTTGTTTCTCCTTAATCGGGTTTGCCTTATTGCTTGCAGAATTTTCGGTGGATCGCTGCGCGCCGCGTTTGGCACCGGAAGACGCACAGCTCGCAGCGTTCGCAAGGACATGCTACGAATTCGGCGTCGGTCGCGGCGGTTCATTTGCCGAGGCTCGAGCCTACTGCAAGAGCCACAACGGCGATCTGGTGCATTCGTTAGGACCCGGTGACACACTCTTCATACACGCGGAGCTTGAGAGAAGAAAGGCGAAGTTAAAGACGCAATTAGTATGGATCGGGGTACAAAAAGAGCCAGGATTCACGTCGAGAGTTTGGAAATGGGTTAATGGTAGGTTATTACACGGTTCATTCTCTAAATGTATATTTCTACGCTTCAACGATAATGGTGATGTTATGAAACATTTTCGGTTGTGAAGAAATGTCGATTACGAACTTTTTGCCCACTTGATGAACTGTAATTACGCACGCACAGTTAAATCGAAACAAAAAGTTTGGAAACGTGCCTAGTAATAGCTGTGTTAAATTTGTCCGTAGGGGAGACGGTAACGCGCCCTGCTTGGGGAAAGGACCAACCCAACAACTACAACGGGGAGCAGAACTGCGTGGTTCTGGACGGTGGTCGGGGATGGCTTTGGAACGACGTCGGTTGCAACCTGGATTATCTCCACTGGATTTGTCAGCACAGTAAGTTCCGTTTTTTTTACTCTTTGTGTAAGTAATTCGCGCTACCTTGTGTAAAATTAGACTTGGAAAGTTGAATGTGACTCACGGTCATCGACAATGCTGGCGTGAAATCGCCCGAAAGTGTTTTGCATTGTACCAAACTTGTCAAGTTTGTACTTTTTAGGCTTCATGAACGGCCACGGAAATGGTACCTACGTTTTAAATAATTAAGTGTAGAAGTAAAAGCATTGAAATCGCTGAGAAAGTGAATCAAGCAAAATAAATAAATAAAAGTTTAAAATTTGGTTTTAGGGGTGACACCTTGAGCTTTGCCAAAGTTTTCTTCTCAAGTTTTTCAATTCGTTTTGGTGCCCCTCGTTTTTTTTCAGGAACTTTCAAATTCGTATCAAATTCCCATCAAGTTTCTCTAAAATGTATTAAGATCATCTCATGTTTTCTATTCCCTAAAATCCGTTCAATATCTCTTCCTTCTAAATCTTTAAATCCTGCAAAAAATATTGATCAACCTCGTTTGTCTAAAATCACCGAGTGCACAGTACCTCTCTTCGCTTATCTTGAAAGATAATACCCATACGCCTTTTATTGAAAAATACACGCGTTGCTAACGCCTTTTATGTCCAGACGTAATTTTGTTTCTGTTCGCTATAAAGCGGTATATATATAAATCTAATTAACAAAAGATAAAGTCTAAAGTGACCACTTGTTACATTGTTCTTAAACATCTCGTTATGGATATTTCTCATGATTCTTCCTCCTAAGCTTCTCTCAATTTACTCAAACGGCTTTCAAGTTTCCCAAGTTTTCCTTCAAGTTTTTCTTCAGCCGTTTCCAGATTGCCATCTCAAAATCTAAGATTCATTTTTTCTTCCCAAGCGCCTTTTCGAGTTTATTCTCATGTATGCTTGAATTTCCATTGGTTTCTTTCAATCGCTCTTCTCAAGTTTCTATCAGATCCTATAATTGCTATAATAATAATTGTTTATGTTTTAAAATTGATATCGACAGCTCTAAATTAGTTATTAGCCCATAGTCCCCTATAGTCTTCTTAAGTGCCGGTTACTGTAAAATATTTTGTAGGTATATTTTAAAAATATTTTGAATGAAACAGTGTCCTCAGTCATGATAGTTGTTCGCTGATTATGGCAACTTTGCTGTTGAAACGCATTTAATCTTTTATATAAAAAATTGGCTGATCCCACCCGTACACCTGCGCATGCGCGATTCTTTTCAAAAGCTCTTTAGCTCTTCATTTTGTGTCTAAGAATATGAGTACCAAATTTGGTTCCGATCGGTTTAGCCCTTTAGACGGAAATGAGAGTACAGACAGACCGACCGACATCATCGAGTTGGTGCTTCAAAACGTCAAAAAAGTCGGTAGTAATTCTTTACCACAATGCAATACGAGATAAAAATGAATCGCCAATAGGACTGCGAACATTTATTGATAATTACCGTTAATAGAAGTCTATCGACATATGGATAGACCTCGATTATCCATAATATCCAATAATTATCGATTATCGCTAATGACCGATAATCGATAACTATATATCGATAAGGTCTGGATGATTAGTCGAAATATTCAATTATCTCTAATATTTATGAAGCAATTTTTTAAATAGTTGGTATGGTTATACTGGGTGGGTCATGAGTGCATGGGTGGAAGATTGTGGGTTTATGCATTTAAAATCCAATTGTAATTTTGTCGAAAATATTTAAGAGAGTCCTTTAAAATGTCCCGACAATGAATTTTAAATATGTGCGTCAATAAACCCAGAATCTTCCACTCACACATTGATGGCCCACCCTGTATAGGTTAACAAATATTAATGCACTTAATGTATTTTTTCCGACTTCCGGTTTATCCGGAAATGACTAACCTTTTGTTATTAGATATACCACCCTGTATATTTTATTGTTATCGGACGCAAAGTATAGAACTGCATAAGAAATGTTATTTATGCTCGGTTTTTGTTTGAAAGTCGAAAAAAGACATTAAATGAATTTGGTATACAACATATACAAAAATTAAAATGAAAATCACAGTAAATAACAAATGCATATAATAATTCATTGTAATGTCTCCTTTTTTCTACTTTCGATTTTCAAAGATAATGCGATTTGCTAGAAGGATTTTTTATTTTATTTTTTTTTATCATTTTGCGAATCGAACAAAAACCTTCAATTAGAATAATTCTTATGCAGTTTTTTTAATTTTGCGTCCGCTAAAAATAAAATGTACGGGGTGTTCCATTTAAAATTTCAAATTTAAGACCATTTCCGGATAAACCGAAAGCAGAAAAAGATATAACAATATTTGTTATAGAAGCAAAGCCAAATATTAAAAAAATTACTTCATAAATAATAACAATACAAACTATTTTTTTAAATCTTTTTAAAAATGTATGTTAATTATTTATGCAGCCAAATATAAAAATCTCAATTTTATAAAAATGGCCAAAAATAAAAAAAAGTAGTTATTTATTTTTTTTGTTATTATTTATGAAGCAATTTTTTAAATAATGTTCTGCGCGTAGGAATAATTTAAAATCTGACGATGTTTCTGTTGACGGTTTAAGAATTGAAATTTCAAAAATAAAGTTTAGGTTTGTTATTTTCATGATAAAATATTTCTCAACACCAAATTTTGAAGACATCGGAATTCCGATGGATTGATACTTATATACAAGATTGGAAAGGACCTACAAAAAATAACGCAGCTCATTCTATTTACAATGCTCCTGGTAAAATACACATTAAACAGACCCAAAAATTTGGTAATTAATTTCTATACTTTTTTAATCAAATCATTAAATGGCAACTGAAATTTTTGAGAGGTAAACCAAGTTCGGGGAAAGACAACAGTTTACATTTACAATCAAATTTAAAGAATATAGTTAGCTTCTTTAAAACAACTGCTCATTTGAAATTTATACTGTTAATGAAATTTTCTGTATGTTTAGAGCATTTTTCAATTCATATTGGAAGGCGCTATTTTTTTAAAAATTTATTGTCTCTGATCAACGTTATTGACATAGACATGGTCACAATGAAAGATTGGTATAAAAAACACACATATACATAAAAATTATTACACAAGAACAAAATATAAATATTATATCACATATTCTATCACATATACATGTCAGTTGCTTTGTAAAAACATTGGTCCATTAGGTAGTTTTTAAGTGCAGCTTTAAATTTATTTTTATTTTTAATTTTTCTAATATCTGAAGGAAGTGCATTAAATGCCTTTACACAATTCAATACAATATTCAGGTAATTATCCGTCCGTCCGAGGCTTTAATTACTCTTACAGTTTTCAACATATTTAGTTCATTCTTTTTGCATTCGGTTTATAGCTCTAGCACCTCAACAAAAAAAATCTTGACAATTAATGTGCGCATGCGCAATTGTGCTTTTTTATTTGTGGGGATATTTTTTTTAAATTTTACCACAGATGCTTCTAGTACAGACAGAAAGTCTTACGCGAATTCTTGTATACCGTGCCCTTACTAGCTCGATAACCCAAACGCAATTTTTTTAAATTTATTTCAAAATAATTCCCTCTCTTAATTACTAGGGATAACTAATTTTTTAACGCCCAACAATGGGGGAATTTTTTACGTGACAATTCTATTGGTCAGCCATTATCTTTCTACCATTACTAAACGGCTTTTGGGGCTGTGAATCTGAAATTTGCAGAACCAGCATTTTTTCACACAACACACATCTTGATTCCCAATTAGCTGAGTTGCAAAAGTAACTAAAGAAGACTAATTTACAGAGTGTAATTTAACACCAGACCCAGACAATGAGGCGACCACTAGCGATTTATTTGGAAATTTGGTCGTGTTGGTGTAACGTTAGCAACATTTTAATAACTTTTTTGGTTTATCGGCACGAGTTTGGAATTTGAACCACGAAAAAATGGGTACTGAATGGGAAAATTCAACTGAACCACACCATATGATTTTCTTCTACTTCTTCAATTCTGACAGACCTTTCGGAAACTTGAGATTATATCTATATCTGATTTTGGTTAATTTGGAATTTTTTTGGATTTTTCCCGGAATTAACATTCATTTACATGTAGTAAAACAATCCTTTGTCCTTATCTGTTCCAACAAGCGTGTATTGCTGGAAACCTGGTATACAGTTAAAAAGTGATCATATTGCGAGATTCTAAGAGAGTATTCCGAAGATCTTAGAATTGAGTAATCGATAAATACGAAATGATGTCCCATTTGACGCAACAGTATAAATTAAAAAATAAAGTAGAGTGGATCAGGCAAAAGATGTTGACATATTAGTCCCGCTTTATTTTCAAATACAGAAAATTTGTGTAGGCAGTGAGTGCATGCGGTAGTAAAAGTATACCCTTCGGATGCAAACAAGGTGAGCTGGTTAGATAGATTCTAACCGCCTTTCTCATTTACTGAATTAGCGAATTAATTTGGTATGGACTGAGGGAGAACTTTTTTTTAATGACGGGTTTGAAGGGTGCCCTCTGCTTCTGGAGGGCGAAGAAGATTTGTTGACTATTTCTTCTAGAAACCAATTATTTTAGTTCTTGTAGAGGATCTTCAAAACCGCGGAGAACGGCATTAATAATTTAGTCCCACCATTTGAATGGCAACGGTTGAAACGAAACCGCATAAATAATTCATCAAAGCTACTTAATACAACCCAATTTAATATTTAAATATGTTCCTTGCAATAAAAAAAATGTAAGCAGAGCAAATGTAGCGGAAACTCGCCTCAAATTACTTTGGAAAATGAAAGTGTTTGGTATTTCACGTAAAGGCAATAAACTTTATTTAAACAATGTGTAATTCGATAAATACGTTAATGTAATACAGAAGTGAGAGAAAGCGCCTGGTTTCAAAGTAATTCAACTCGCCGTAAGACATTTTTTGAACTCACGCGAACAACCCGTTTACAGATCCTTCATCTTGTGGAAGTCCGGATAAAAAGTTGAACACAACAATCAAAGGCAGTAATTACGACGTGGGTTTCAAAATCGAATACGAATGCCCCACCGGCCACGTTTTAATTGGGGACGCCACGAGGAATTGTGGCAAAGAAGGCTTTTGGTCTGGAACGGCGCCTTCCTGCAAATGTAAGTCGCGTCCTCATCTGGAATCGGTTCAAGCCATACTCTTGCAGATGTGGAATGCGGGGGTTTACCCGATTTGGAACACGGTACTGTGTCAATGGTCGATAATCGCACGACATACGGGGCCAAAGCCATTTACAGCTGTCACGAGAATTATACGTTGCTCGGACGAGAAACTCGGTACTGCAAAGAAAATGAAACTTGGTCCGAGTCCACACCGAAGTGTCTGTTCGACTACTGTCCAGATCCGGCCTATATTTCGGGTGGTATCGTGAAGATTAGCGGGCATAGGGCTGGAGATACAGCCGTTTACACTTGCCAGCCTGGGTATATCATTTTTGGACAAAGTGTGAGTCTGTCTACAATTTTGGGGAAACCGCAACCCTTTGCTTGTAGGTCTTATCGTGCGCCTTAGGAGGGGAGTGGATGGGGAAAGCGCCGACTTGTAAATATGTCAACTGTGGTACGCCCCCCGCAATCGACAACGGAAAATACGAACTGGTTAATGGTACCACTAGTGTTGATAGTATCATCGAGTACTTTTGCAACGGGGATTATTGGCTTGATGGGCAGCGGAAGCAATTTTGCACAAGAGAGGGGAAGTGGTCTGCCGATGCGCCTTCGTGCGAACGTGAGTAGTACCCTAACTATTTAGGTTTATTTATTCGGAGCCTTTGTAGTAATCACTTGTGATGAACCTGAAGTGCCAGCTGGAAGTTACGTGGTGGGTTACGACTTCAACATCCATTCGTCGATCGAGTACCACTGCGAGGTAGGCCACGTTCTACACGGGGATGCTGTACGCGAATGCAGTGGCAGTGGTGAATGGTCGGGGTCTATGCCTACATGCGAATGTGAGTTTCAACAACCAGCAACCGCCTAATCACAGATTTATTGTAGACATCGACTGCGGGAAAGTACCCACTTTGCTCTACGGAAACGTGGAATACACAAATTCGACAACTTACGTTGGTAGCGAACTGCAGTACAGTTGCGCCCGCAGTTACAGACTGACGGGTGTTCCAAAAAGATACTGTTTACCCAACAAGCAATGGAGCGACTCGTCTCCAAAGTGTGAAGAAATTAGGTGCCCGGAACCCATCCTGGCAGAGCACAGCATTCTATCCGTTACAGGAAATGATCGCGCCTATGGACGAACATTGATACGAACCGCCGAGTCTACGAATAATGGGGCAACGTCGTTTAAGATTGGCGCAATTGTCAAGTACAGATGCGAACGGGGCTACAAAGTGATCGGGGAACCTTTGAGTACGTGCGAAGATACGGGACAATGGAGCGGCGACGTACCTCGCTGTGTTTGTACGTATTTTCCGAGACCAATTTTTCCAATTTCAACTTGTGTCTACAGATGTCGACTGTGGAAATCCTCCGAAGCTTGAAAATGGAAAGGTCAGCTTGGCATCCAATGCGACGTACCATGGAGCTTTGGCTTTGTACAGTTGTGATCCAAACTTTGAACTAGACGGAGTGTCACGAAGACTTTGCCAAGACAACGGAACGTGGAGCTCCGATTCTCCCAACTGTGTTGGTAAGTCTCCCAATGTAAGGCTGGGCATTTACAATTGTCGACATATTTCCATATGAGTAGTGGACAATTCCAAATTTAGAATGGTCACCCAGTAAGGCATTTTGTTGAGTCATTGATCTCGATCTCGATTTTTTCGGGAAATATCAAAAGTCTTTTTTCGGGAAATATCAAAGGCAAGAGATATTTGATACTTTGGCATATGCCTGGCGTAGCCGCCTCTCCCAGAATTTTGTCAACTGTCGGGAGATGTGTCCCTGGTAGGAACTAACAGGGGTAGGTACATCTCCACCACTTTTGTGGGCATTGCGCTGGGCCGCAACATATACCAAACAGTGTGGTGGATTTTGTGGATTGGGGTTGCCAATGGAATATCTGCATTAGAGAGAACTCTTGACTTTTGGTATAGGGATCTGCACTGTCTGCTGTCATACTTTGAGGACCAAGTTCCTGTTCCATACCTCTTGAACTAATTCATTTAGGTCCTTTTTTAGCCATCTGATGCGTATTGTAGCAATTCGGCCTGGCCCTTCTCGTGCCCTGCCATTTTTCTCCTTTTTCAGATTTCATAATATCTCCATTATTTCTTCCCTCGTGGGGGGTAGCGGGAGTGGCCAGTAATCGTTCTCCTCCATTTAGCTTGACCTGTGCTTATTGTTCTTCCTTCAGGAGTTTTTCCCATGCCATTGGTACATATTTTTTGTTTCTCCCTTCTTTCCTCCTTCTGTTATTCTTGATGTGCTTATACCTTTGAGCATTCCTCTCCATTGGGCTAAGCTTGGCGATGTTCCCTGCAAACTTGATCTCATGTTGATCAAAGGCTCTCTTTTTCTCCTCTTTGCTCTTTTTTTGCTTCATGTTTGTGGGGGTTTTGCCCAAACCTCTTCAGTGCTCTGCTGTGGTTGTCCATGGCTTGCTTCCTGTTTGGTGATATGGGTGGTTTATGTTCCGCAAGTGTTTTCCCTGCCGCTTCCTTTAGAGTTTCGACGATCCTGTTCCAACATGGCCTCCCTTATCCCTTTTTGTTCCTGATCTCGTTCTGCTCCTTTCTATACTCCTCCCTTTTCTTCTCCCCTGTCAAAAGTCTCACATCTCACCATTCAGTTCTCTCGCTTTGCTCCCTTTCCTTTTTTTTTCTTCTCCCCCTCCCCTTACCATTTCGTGGTCCAATCCAACTATTTTCGTGATGCTTATTTTCTTTGATTTGGTCTTGACTATGTGGTCGATCTGTGATTCAGAGTTTCCTCTCCTCCATGTAGTGAGCACCGTTTTGGATTTGCTGGATGTGTCGCCGAACATGATTCCCGGGTATCCTCTGCTCAGCTTCCTGAGTTCCGCTTGTCCTCTTTTGTCCGAGGGATGTAGCATCCTATAACCGTTAGTCTGGATCTGAGCCATAGATATATTATCGCCTCTTTCTTCAAATTTCTCAACAATGTCTCGGGGTTTCCTGATTCCGATTTCCGTGCCTCTGTTGGTTCTCTCCTTCTTCCCTCCTCCTATCCACCAGTCGTAGTTCCTCGTTGCTAGTTTGGTTTCTTGTAGGCTGGCTACATCTGTTCCCTATTCTCTTAATTCGTCGTCAATTAGCTCCCTTTTCTTTGGGTCGTTTGGTCCTTGTACGTTCCACGTGGCTACCCTCATGCTGTTGCCTCCTTCTGATTCTGCACCCTGACACCTCGCCGCAGCACTCCTTCCGGAAACCATGCCCAGACTATATTCGTTGGAGACGGCGGCTCCTCTCGCTTCCTCGTATTCTCCCAGCACCGACGATTGACAAGTTTGTTTCCCTTCGTAAGGGTCCTATTTGTTCCGCCCACTCGAGGTAGGTATTTTTGCGAGTTCGGTGAGCGCTACCTTTAGTCCAGGGAATGGAGGGTTTTAACTTGCAAAATGAGAAGTAGTTCCAATTTTTTTTGCATGTCATAGACAGTCATCTGGTGGTTAACAATGTAAGTTTTCGACCTCCCACCCCTTGTGCTTCCCCCGTACCACCCCCAAAATTTGGTTGGTTTCTTAGTTTTTCAATCATGTCTTTTTAATGGTTCACTTTAGAAAAAAATATTGTTATCAGAAATTGTAGACCATAAAATTCTACACAACTTTGATATTTTTTGTGAAATGTTTATTAAAAAAGATATAGAGCTTGAGAGTTGGTTATATTTTGAAGAATTCTGAAATTTCTATGTAGATGTTTTAACCAAATTTCATACTTTATCTCTATAATTAAGAGATTTATGAGAAAATATCTTGGATTTATTGTGGTATAAATCCCTCTACCCTGCACCCTTACCAAAGGGGATGCATAATATTGAAACTTCCAACCCTTGCTAGTGAGGATATTTCAATAACTGTGAGATAGTAGCGCTTTCTAATATACACTTCAGTTCAGTTTCACCCCCCCCCCCCCCCCGCGCTGTTGGAATAGATATTTAAACGCTCTTGTGAACTTAATCAGAGAGTAGAACGCTTATTACATTGTTTTCTATTCCTATTTAAATATCTATTCCTACCGCGGAGGGGGGGGGGGGGGGGGGAAGGATTTGTAGGATGAAGCTGAACTGAAGTGAGATAATTTTTTTGTTTCAAACTTATATTAGAAAGCGCTACAATCTCACAGTGATTCAAATATCCCCACTAGCAAGGGTTGAAAGTTGAATTATTATGCTTCCCCTTTGGTAAGGGTGCAGCGTAGGGGGATTTATACCACGATAAGTTCAAGATATTTTCTCATAAAACTCTTAATTATGGAGATAAAGTTTGAATTTGGTTAAAACATCTACATACAAACTTTAGAATTCTTAAAAATATAAGCAACTCTGAAGCTCTATATCGTTTTTAATAATCATTTCACAAAAAAGTAGTGTATATCAAGGTTGTGTAGAATTTCATAGTCTACAATTTCTGATAACAATATTTTTTTGTAAAATGAACCTATAAAAAGATATTGAAAAACTAAAAAACCAACCAAATTTATTTGGTTTTAAGGGTGGGGTACGGAGGAAGCACAAGGGGTGGGAGGTCGAAAACTTGGATTCTTAACCACGATATTCTTTCATGCAAAAAAAATTGGAACTACTTCTCGTTTTGCAGGAAATGGTCCATTTTCAGTCTCTATTTCCTGGACTACTTTCGCAGTTCCCCTATTTATCCAATCACCTTGGTTAATCGCTCCCCGTGACTTGCGGCAGCCTTAATTCTAAGTATCGAGTATCAATTCAAGCAAGCTTATCTTTTATCTTTACGCCCTTTGTTGCCCTACTGGTTGGAGATTCCTACACTGGCTTCTCACAATTTAATTAGCGCGCGTTATTTGTGTCTTGATAAAGACAACTGCCCCTTGTGTTTCGAATAACTTTACTTAAACAGCGCTCACTAAAACCACGTCTGCACTCAATACCGGTTCGAAGTAGACCTTTTCCTCTGTTAACGGTACCAAGAGATCAAATCAAAATCCCAACAATCACTTGTCGGCAAACATAAAAGTATGATTTTAAGAACTGTATAAATCTACCAACCGTTTCAGAAATACAATGTAAAGACCCTGACGCATTCCATGGTGTTCACGTGCAAGTCAGCACACATAGCGTGGGTGGTATCGCGCATTACTCCTGTCCCAGGGGCCATACAATGGAAGGAAACTCGACTCGAGTTTGTCTCAAAAAGGGCTCATGGACTGGACAAGCGCCCACCTGCCTGCGTAAGTTATCAAATCCGTTTAGAAATCAAGAGTTAGACCTGATCCATTCTAGCAATCGACTGCACCCATCCTGGAACGATCGAGAATGGCAGAATTATTGTGATGAACGGCACCACGTACAATAGCGCAATTGAGTACCACTGCATCCCACAATACGAACGGATCGGGCCGTACCTACGCAAGTGTTTGGAAACTGGAGATTGGTCCGGAGAAGTTCCGAGATGTGAAGGTGAACAGTTAAGCTCGCCGAAATCGGCTTTTTCACGTTAGCTTTTCAGTGGCATCTGCGGAACCAGAAGATTCGTCTAGTCTAGGGACAAGCATCGGTATTGGAGCTGGAGTTGTCCTGTTTCTTCTCATACTTTTAGGAATTATTTATTTAAAACTGTAAGTAAGCGTCTATAGGTGGTTGAATTATTAACCCTTCCGTACAGGCGAAGAGAGACGCCCGTGAAAAACACCGAAAACGTGGAGGGGGCAGAGAGGAAGGAAGACCGTAACGCGGCCGTCATGAGCTACGCAACTTTAAGCGACAGAAACGGGTACTCGCATCCGCCCTTAACGCCCAACCTTTACGAAAACGTGCACGATGAGAACATGTACGACGCGCCCTATGAAGAGACAGGGCGAGATAGCGGCACCTACGAACCCGAACCGATAGGAAGGACAAACGGAAATACAGTTACTATAAACGGAGTACACGTGCGATAGTTTTTTCGTTGAGTAGTTTTAGGCGAAATTTTGTTATTTCTTGTTAAAATTTTGCAAAAAAGGACCTCCGAACACGAATTCCTTGCATGTACATAAATAATTTTTAAAGGTATTATTGAAGGGTGTGAAATTTACAGGGGTAGTTTTGAATGGTGTAACGATGGAAAAGCTAGGAAAGCCAAATAAACTGTATAAAATTGTGCCTTCTTCGTTGTTTATAGTAATAGTTGACAGACAGTCGTTTTCGGTTTCAATGATTTTGTTTAAAAATTATTTATTTCTCCGCAACTTTATTTTTATACCTAAGAGTGTGTGATGTAAATGTGAATGTGTGTAAATTTAGGTAGTTATTGTTTGTAAATACGTGTAATGTATGAATAATGTATATTATTATTAAATATAATATATATGTGTATAAAACGAAATCATTAGATTTTCCCATCACAAATACACTTAGACAGCTGAATGAAAGAACGCCACACCTTGAGAGTTAACAAAGATTCAACATCTTCAAAGCGAAATTTGAATGTATGTTTTATAGCAAAATGTTTTTAATGCTAGTTTGGAGCACGAGGACCGCTCAAATGTTAGGCCTGGCTTCTCACTAGTCTTCTAATTTTGTTTTGCACGGACCGCTCACAGAATCGGCGCGCTATTTTCTATTATTTAATAATAAATGAAGAGGAATTGCAACAATTTGCGACGAACTTCGGTAGCTCGCACAAAATTGGTTGCATGTAAATGAATAAATAAAAAATAGTAAAATCCGTAACTAGAATGTATATCAACATAATTTATAATCGTTTATGAATGGTAATAATACTTTACAACCAGAAAACGATAGTAGTCGACGGTTAGTACGGATATCCTGAGGCGCCACCAGATGTATAAGAGTTGGCCGTGATTCATCGGTCTTGGGGTTTTGGAAAAATCGGTAGCCCACGTGTCCATTTAGAACCGGTAAACGGGAAAGCTATGGGAGCATATCAACTTCAGCATTATTCTAAAACTCCACACTCTTGCCGTATATTCAGTTTAACGTTTTCTTACACCACTTTACTCATGAATGCCTATGGAATGGAGTTAGAGGCAAACGAAGAAATGTGTAACGTTACTTTTTACAGATTGATATTCCTGAAATCCCGCTTAAGTAATTATTTGATTCGTACTCTTATTTGAATTCTTAATCTAACTTATAGGTATTTGAAATTCTTACACCTTCTAGGTATTCACTTTGTAATCCACTAGTTTAGATGTAAGTTATTCCTGTAGTAAATTTGTGTTATAAATTAAATAGTTCTTTGTTTCGCCGAGAGAGGTCGTGCAGATGTTTTCCATGGTACTTCTAATTCTATCCCTTCTTAAATTGTATCGTGCCCAAAAGTGGTATTTTTCCTTTCAGTGAAGATTCTGCCGTCGCATTAGTTACATGCAAATTTTTCTCTTGGTACGCCATACTTTTATCGACTTCGTGTCTTGCCTGTATAAAAGGATTATTGTTTTGGCTTTACCATTTATCTTGGAGTTTGGAGTGGTTTCTGTTTCTCTTTGACGTCTCTGGCTGTGGCTCCATTGAAGCGTTTTGTAGTTGCATATAAACAGTACCAGGCATGTTAGTTGATTACGCAGCATTTTTCTTAATAAGTATATTTTTTTAGGACCTTCCCTCAAAGTTCTCTTATGTTTTTTTCTTTTGCGTTGTGTCTACCTGGATATTACATATTACCTACGGTCTACGTGGATGACTTCGCAATTTTACTTGGACTCGCCATCTTATTATTAAAATTCGTATTGGCGCGCGACACGCGATGGATGTTTCTACATTACCGGCTTGAGAAATTCTACCTACATTAACCATGTGAATCTACTTTTTACTTACGCCACTTGCTACGCAGAATATACCGTCCGACACCCGATTTTGTTGACGATCACTTTGTGATTCCGAGAATTCATTTCTGTTAGTTTGATTTCATTGTATCCTTCAGATTAGCTGTTATATGAGAAATTAGCTACCGTTGTTGAGTAAATTGAAGTTACCGAGACCTGGCTCGAGACTAATATCAACGATTCTTAAGTAGGTTACTTATTTTACTCCGAAGAAGTTGTTCACACTATCTTATTTACATTGATTAGATCAACAGAAATTTAGTTATTTGTGCATCGTAAAGTAGTTTTCTTGAATTTAACGTCTCGATTATGCTTTTATACAGGTGTTGTAAGGATAATCCGTGGTCGAGTCAAATTTTTTTGCTAGTGTCAAGTCATTCGAATTATTAATTTTTATTGAGTATTAATTACAGGTTTAGTGTACGATTGCCCCAGTGTCAGACGTTAGCCTTGCTTTCGCAATATTTTATGTGCCGCGCTATTCACTACCCATTTTGTTTGTTTGTGTTGTTGGCTGTTAAAGATTAGGCTGAACGCGCCCTTTTGAGCTAATATTGCGACTTGAAGTTCAAAGATAATTTTCTTATTTTCGTCGACTCCTTGATATAAAGTTTGATTGCCACATTTTGTTTGAGATTCATTTAACGATTATAGCTCCGTTGTTTTCTGCGAAGCCTGTTTTGAAATTAAATGTTCTCTGACTACGTTGATTCCCTTCTACTAAAATTAATTTAAATTTAAATGTTGGCATTGCAGATTTGTATATTACAGTGTCATTTTTGAGATCATTTATTAAAATGTACTAAGGTCATCGTGTTTCATTACTGACCTTCCTGATCACGCTTGCCAGATCCTCTTCAGACAAAGAAAGGGAATGTAAGGATAGGTACGAGTAAAGTTAGGGATGGGAACGAAAGGAACGGAGTTGCAATACTGAGAAGGAAGAGCGCTGTTGCAACATTCGCATCGTAGATTTCTATATGATGCTAGCATTATGCAAAGCTACGTATGTCTGAGTAAAGTTCCCTGACAAAACCCCAGATAAATTAGTCGACAGAGGGATTCAAACCCACCACCTCTCAAATAGCAGTCGATGAGGCTATTACCTTATATACAATTCCCAAAGTGTGGAAACGAAACTCGGATTTTCAAACCGGCCGCCCTACTCGGATGAAAACGTCCAAAAATTAAATCTCCTTTAATTAATTTCAGGCTCCTGGGCAACCTAAAAATCTGGGACATATCTCAAAATCTATATTAATTAAGCGCGATTCCAATGACACTAAGCCCAATTCAGTGAGACGAATTTTGTTGCAACACAATTAGTTAACTACAGTTAATTATCCTCACTTAATTGGCCGGATTGACATTTCAAAATTCGGAGAATCCAGAATTAGTGTGTACAAGCTAGATTGCATGACACAGTGGCAACTGGCAACTAAGGCTATGGCTATGGACATCTACAGATCACATCATCAATCAACGGAATTTACTTTTAAAGCATCACACCACTGTCATTCGTAAATGACACAGTAAATACCACAAAAAAAATACTTACTAATACTAAATTTTATTTTCCAATGCAAAACTGATTAAAAATGACACTTAACAACTGCTCAGTACTAAAAATGCCTGTTAGCTTATCTAACTGTCGAAGAGCTTTCCTCAGCTTCTCTGCCATAAAGACAGTGTTGTCGTCAAAAGACTGGCGATCTTGGAGAAAGGACTCTAGATGTCTCAAGCATAAAGTTAAGCACTCACGATGACGAACTTGGTTCATACTAGGATGCTCTTCCGTCGGCTCTCCACATCTACCAATTATGTTATTGCCTCAGAATTGCGACGAAGTTAACTTACATTTGCTTCAACTGGTCAATAATGCTAGAAGTCAAGAAGTCAATGCCTTTCTTTGAATTGCAAGAGATCAGGTTTTGAAACGACTGCAAGTGTACCAGGTCACACTCTTCGACTAAATCCACCTTATTACCAATGACAATGAACGGCTTCTTTGTCGTGTTATCTTCGTTGAATAAAATATCGCAAATGTCAAGCTTTCGCGCGTAAAAGGCGAGGAAGTCGAGAAAATTACTTGATTGGCTCGCTTTCTGCCATGATAAGTAATTTGTGCAGTCGGCGACTAATAATATCAAATTGGCGTCTTCACAGGCCCTTAAGGTTCGAATCATACCTTCTTGTTCTATTACGTCCGCACTTTGCGAACGTAAACCAGCGGTGTCGTTGAGTACAACGGGATAGCCACCTATGTCTAAAGTTGCCTCTAGTACGTCTCTTGTGGTACCGTGTATGGGAGTTACTATGGATAAAGGTCGGCTGCCTACGAACATGTTACTAGAGATTCGGTTTGGACGGTGGTCCATTAGCGTTCGGCTCATTAAAATTTTATTGATGGGAGATCTTAATGTTGGTTTTACGTTCCAGTGTTTCAGTGCGTAGGTACTAACGTAAACCACCCACTAGCAAGCCCCTGTACCACTGAAGCACTGAACCAAGTGACACTTTGTTTTAGTAAAGGCGTCTGATTCTTTGTTCACTGTCAAATGCTCACTGCCTAAACAGTTGGCTAACATGAAATTCTGGGATACTAATGGACCATCCTGTACTTACGCCCTTACAAAGAACATTAGCAAGACTACTTTTGCCCACGTTGGTCTCGCCGATTAGAACGGTTTTCACGCCATTCCTTAAACATTCGCCTCTGACCCCGTTACCAAGATGTTTGCGTATGTCTTCCGACAGCTTCAAGACGCTATTCATCGTGCCATTCACCAAATCAGCATCCAAAACCTCGGTCTCGTGAAAATCGATGTAGGCCTCCAAGTTTGCCAGCGCACTCACCAAAACGTTCTTCCAACGCATGTAGACGTTCTTTAGGTGTCCCTCGGTTTGCAAAAAAGCCTGAGAGAGTTAAAACATACGCATTTATTCCTAGCTACCTGTTTTCTTTGTAATTCCGTTTCAGCAGATAGCAGATCGGCTAATCCTTCGGCTTGCGTCAAGTCCAATTTACCGTTGTAAAAAGCACGCTTGGTAAATTCACCAGGAGACGCTAGACGCAAGGTAGGAATCGCACTTAGGGCGTTCAATACGCCGTTGATCACTGCCAAACCGCCGTGAATTTGAAATTCGCAACTGTCTTCGCCGGTGAAGCTGTGTGGAGCTGAGCGATAATTCTAACCACGCATTTCTCCAAAGACAGAGTCGAGTGAGCAACAGATTCCATTAATAGATGAATCGGATCCATTTTTGTGTCAAAAAAAGATCCAATTAATACGAAATAGGGGTGGAAAACGATATGAGGCGAGGGGAGAGGTTATATGCAGTTGCAGAATGGCGTGTGGATCCTGTGTCAAAATCAATCAACGAATCAAAAATATTGATTCCCACAAAAAAATGGCTACCCTGCCACTAAACCATTGCCATAATTATCAGGGAGGGTCTTCTTTAAAAATGTTTAATTTTAAAACAGGGAGAGACTGTACCTTCACATACAGTTGCAGATTAGCATATGGATCCTGTACACAAAATCAATCAACGAAACAAAAATATTGATTCACCACAAAAAAAATGGCTACCCTGGCACTAAACCATAGCCATAGATATCAGGGAGGGTCTTCTTCAAAAATGTTTGTTTTTAAAACAGGGAGAGACTGTACCTTCATATACAGTTGCAGATTGGCATATGGATCCTGTACACAAAATCAATCAACTAAACAAAAATACCACAAAAAAATGGCTACCCTGGCACTAAACCATTGCCATAATTATATCAGGGAGGGTCTTCTTTAAAAATGTTTAATTTTAAAACAGGGAGAGACTGTACCTTCACATACAGTTGCAGATTGGCATATGGATCCTGTACACAAAATCAATCAACGAAACAAAAATATTGATTCACCACAAAAAAAATGGCTACCCTGGCACTAAACCATAGCCATAATATCAGGGAGGGTCTTCTTCAAAAATGTTTGTTTTAAAACAGGGAGAGACTGTACCTTCACATACAGTTGCAGATTGGTTTATGAATCTTGTACACAAAATCAATCCACAAATCAAAAATAATGGTTCACCACAAAAAAAATGGCTACCCTGGCACTAAACCATTGCCATAATTATCAGGGAGGGTCTTCTTCAAAATGTTTAATATTAAAACAGGGAGAGACTGTACCTTCAGTTGCAGATTGGCATATGGATTCTGTACACAAAATCAATAAAACAAATCAAAAATAATGATACACCACAAAAAAATGGCTACTCTGGCACTAAACCATTGCCATAATTATCAGGGAGGGTCTTCTTCAAAAATGGTTATGGATTCTGTACACAAAATCAATCCACAAATCAAAAATATTGATTCATCACCAAAAAAGTGAGTACTCTGGCAATAAATCATTGCATAATTATCAGGGGGGTATTCTTCAAAAATTTGTCATTTTAAAACAGGAAGAGGTTATACCTTTATATGCAGTAGTATAATGGTGTATGGTTCCTGTACACAAAATCAATCGATTCAAAAATATTGGTTGACCACCAAAAAAATGGCTACCTTGGCACCAAACCATTGCCACAATTGTCAGGGAGGGTCTTCTTCAAAAATGTTTAATATTAAAACAGGGAGAGACTGTACCTTCACATACAGTTTGAGATTGGCATATGGATCCTGTACACAAAATCAATCAACGAATCAAAAATATTGATTCACCACAAAAAAATGGCTACCCTGGCACTAAACCATTGCCATCATTATCAGGAGGGTCTTCTTCAAAAATGTTTAATTTTAAAACAGGGAGAGACAGTACCTTCACATACAGTTGCAGATTGGCATTATGGATCCTGTACACAAAATCAAAATTATTTGATACACCACAAAAAAGTGAGTACTCTGGCAATAAACCATTGCCATAATTAGCAGGGAGGATCTTTTTAATTACAAAACAGGGGAGGTTGTATCTTTATATGCACTTGTAGAATGGCCTGTAGATCCTGTACATAAAATCAATTAACGAATCAAAAATTTTGATGAATCACAAAAAAGTACTATTACCCTGGCAATAAATTATTGCCATAATTATAAGGAAGGGGATCCTGTACTGAATCAAAAATATTGATGCACCACAAAAAAGTGACCACTCTTCTGCAAACATTTACAATTATAAAATAGATACATTTATATGCAATGTAGAATGGCGTATGGATCCTGTACCCAAAATCAATCAACGAATCGAAAACATTGATGCACCACAAAAAAATGACTACACTGGCAAATAATCAATTTCATAATTATCATCAGGAAGGCAGGGAATTTGTAATTTTAAAACAGGGAGAGGTTGTACCTTGCCTTTCACAAATGATGATTACTTAATCAGTGATTAAAAATATTATAATGGGAAACAAATGAGCGTATAATCAAGGGAGGCTAACATTCTAATATATTTAATCATTGATTAACCCTCGGATTAACCTGAATCATCGTTTGTGAAACCATCAGGCATAGTTCCACCAAAGATCAGTGTAGTATGACCTTTAGTTCCACTAAAGTCACCTCTATTTTTCAACCCCACTCTCGCCCCTGTTGCTTTTGTTAATAATTTTGTCATTTAGTTTCATAGGCATCTGTTTTTTGTCAGAAATTCATAAAAAACCGTTCAAGGATCCATTAAAAAAACGTCCCGAGTGAATATCTGTTGCTGGAATCTATTGTTAACTTGATGCGGGTAGATAGACTTACAGGGAAACCATAAGACCAGTCCTCTATCGAGCACCTCCCCCCTATCGGGATGTTTTAATTTTTTCAAAAGAGCATAGCGAGGTTTCGGTAACTCCTTCATGCCGGTCAAGTGCTTTAAGGCATTTCCAGCCGAAGGTCCCGAGACTCGGATAACAGCAACTCCGCATTTGCCTTGACCTAAAAGTGAGCAAGTGTATATCTACTTCTCAGTAAAAATTACCTACCTGAAGAGAGTGCGAATATTGTGCTTTGGGAAACTTGATGACAATAGTGCCGTAAATGCAAGCTACACCGAAACATTCTTTTGCATTTTAGCGTTTAGTCGTTAAGGTGAATTGTAGGATTTCATTCTCAAAATCACAAATTAGTATTTATTTAATTATTGAAGTTGAGGTTGTTTGGGAATCAGCTGTTGAGCTGTTACAAGAGGTGTGAAACTTGGCTAGAAAAAGCGTCTAAGCGCCAGGTTCAAAATATGGATTTATAATACCTATGCACTTTAGCACATAAATTATTACACGTTTGTAAGCTTTGAATGAACGACAAAGCTCGTTCATGATTTTGAAATTTGAACTTTCTGTCCGTCCGTCCGTCTGTGTGCATGATAACGCGCCCTAAATTCGCTGTTGCAACATTATATGAAGAAACATTTACCTACACTATTTGTATCTTGAATATTATTGATTTTCGTGGTTTAAGGAACTCTTTCTCGATTTCTACAGGCCAGAAGGGTCCTTTGAAAGGTTTTAAAAACTATAGAAAGTTTTGTAAGCCTTGAGGAATCTTGATAAGAGGTGCGAAAGATCTGTAAAGAAATGTAAAGTCCTTAATGATTCTTAAAAGTTAATGAAGATCTTTAAAGAGCTTGTATTCAGAAACATAGAGAGTCAGCGACTTTTGGATTTCATTATCTAGTTACGCAAGAAAATATGAAAAAACTCTGCATTCCAAAATATCACGGCAGATCTTTGAAAATCTTGCATATACTATCAAGGTTGGCCTGATAAGTTATAACTTATAACGATTCATAAGTCCGTCGAAGGGCACTGAAAAGGGTAAAGCGTTGAAACGCATGAAAGATTGTTGATGTGAGTCTAAAAGATTGCTCAATTGCCTTTAGGTCTTCAAAACTTTACATTGTTAAAGCCATTAAAGCTCTGAAACAAAGACTGTTGAAGTTGTTAGGCCCTAAAGGCAGAGGTTTTATTTTAACAAATCGTAGAGTACATATTTTAGTTATAAATGTTTTGCATATAAATCCAAATTCGCGCTACCACCGACATCTTTCCGCGAACTAGGCAGTTAGCGCAGCCGCGAACCCGTTGTTTACATTGTAAAACACATGACAAACGTCAAATTACACGTGCTTTTTAATGTATAAACAATGGCCAAAACACCGGCGCTATCAACAAATGTTGTATTAAAAACAGCGAAAAAACGCGCAAAACCGTGCCAGACGTTCAAACGGGATCAACAAGTGGCGGGCGCCGCGACGACAGCGCCGCTAATTTCGACGTTGGCCGCGCCACGACGCGTCCCTCCACCTGTTTTCATTGCTTGCATTCCTATACACGACGGTTCTTTGACCGAAGTGTGTTTTTTTATCAAAATTCGTTATCAACCCCCAGTTTTTGTTCGTTTTTTTTGCAGTTATTATTTGTTTTAAGCCGTTTTTGTGCATGTGCCTTACGTTTTTGTTATTTTGCTTTATAAGGTGAGAGATTTTTTGATTGTACTTTATTTACATGAATGACTATGACGTATTAGGATGCTGGTAGTTAAAGGTCAGGAGGCGTCTCAGACGCCTTCAGTGGGCCCAATTACACCCTTAAACTGTGTTTTGTAGATGGTCCAAGGCATGGCCTGCTACGATTTAGGTTAGGCCCATTCGGAACTGTGATAACAAAAGAGTAGCCACTCGAGCAACCCTTAGCCAACTTTGCTAGATTTTACACTTTAATTTAACTGTAATTCTAAGTGCTTTTTAAATAGTTTACGATATTATTTAAGTTTTCGGTTTTTTTTTCAGTTTGATGACTGTGCCCGACGACCTGTCTTGTTAACTCTGTGTTCGGCTGTTAAATGTAAGTGCTTTATTCTTTAGTTTCGCTCGCCTTTATCTGTTAAGTTCGTTGATAAACTTTTAAAAAAATATTAACAATTACCCTGCAGAACTCTGCAGTAGCTAGACTGAAGACCGGTAGATGGCGCTACCTGTATCGTTCCCAGATTAATGGGAAATTTAAATTTTCCCGCCAAAAAGGGTTGCATAGTGCCACTTTGAATAGTGTGACCGTCCGCACTTTCTTTTGCAATGCTACAAATTGGTATGAAATATAAAAATTGCGTGAATTTGAAACAATAAAAGCTATCAGCCAATGGGCACTGTTCGTCCGAATATAAATTAGGGTGGCTAAAATAAATAAAGGGGAGTTGAGATCAATAATTTACAACTGTGTAGAGTTTCATATTTGTCTCGCATGTATTGAAATTACTGTACCGCATTTTTACAAGCGAAAAATTCTCAGGAGATTTCGTTCCATATAAATTTTCTATGATGCAATTAAATTGCCTTTCGGGTATTTTTGTTATTTTTTTTCATTTGATGTATTTTTGTTGTTGCCTTCGATATATGGGAATAACATTCTACAATATAGTTTTATGATTATTTCATCCCCTCGCGGCGTTTCTTATAAAAATAAATCAATATACATCAGAAATAACGACTTGATATCAAGACATTAAGATCCCCAGCCGAACCAGATTACATCCGAAGCATCGTGATGTTCTTTGATGATGACTTTTATTACCAAGCACTACGTACACAGCTGAAACTTTCCCTGTTGCTGTTGAACGCGAGCAGCTAAAAATCGTTTGTTGTAGGTATTTGCAATTAGTGCCCAATGAAGTATGTAATCACTCACACTTGTAGGTAACCATAGCATTAGATTCGTTCATTCACTGCTAATTAATTAAACTAACCGCAACATTAAACCGATCACAATTCACAACTTCTCTCGTGAGAAACTTACACATGTGAAGTTGTTTTGTGTGCTTTAGATTTTATTCACCATTTTTGAAACTGTCTAAAGAGAATAAGCTGCAACTTTAATGTCAGACGTCTTGGTGACCCCGATAATAATTCATGGCGTACAGACTGAAATAGGTGACCTTTTATAATTCAGCTCAAAGATTTTTTTACTAATCCATTAATTGCAATTGTTACACTCTCAGTGCTGAGATCTCAGACTTCGTGTTGATGAACGGAGTTCGCGTAGACATAGGTACAAATTTATTCGCTAAAATATTACCGTAATCATAGGGCGCTTTAGCCAATCAAGAAATCCATCCTTATTACAAGAAGTCCTTCCGCCTTAAAAATATGGTAAGTACTGAATGCAAACGACCAAAAAAATATAAATTCTTATTGATGCCAAAACTGACCTATATTAATAATTTTATTTATTTATAAGCGAGTTGTGGTGGCGTGGTGCATGAGGTGAGTATTTTTTCCGCCTAAGATGGGAACTGTGACGTGGTGAAGGGCACTAGTGGCAGACTATCTTTGCGTCCTGGGAGGGCCCGCAACCGTTACCTAAACAAAAAAATGTTAGATTGGTAGTACAGATGATTTGAGTCATCGTAATACTCGAAAAAGTTTCATTTTATCTGAGGTACATATCTATTTACAACCGGTTCGGCAACGTTCTGCACTCGCGAGATCTACGTAACGACGAGAGCTATGTATTTTTTTATGGCTTCCGTTTATTTTTAAAACGGTAAAACATTGCTTGTGACGTTGCCAAAAATCAGGGCCGGTTCAAGGCAAAAGTTACGTGTAAGCAAGCACCAAAATTTGCGCCTCTGCTCGTCTCGCTAAAGCCAGAATAATGGGAACTTTTGGCAAGCATGTGTTTAAAAATGAAAAGAGGTTTTCGCTTTAAGGTTAGTAACTAGCGCATTTTTCATGAATTCATCAGTACTTCCGGACACACCTGATGTTTAAAGTATGCGATATGTTTGCCTTTAGGTATTAGAAGAATCTGGTTAAAATTAAAAAAAAATCTCTATAAATAAGAAAGTTGACATTGCGTTGTTTGCGCATGAGCACATCTGATTTATACAATATGCGATATGCTTGTCTTTACTAGAAGCATCTGAGTTAAAATTTTAAAGAAATATCTCCATAAATAAGAAAATTGACATCGCGCAGTTTGCGCAAGCGCATAGATTAATCGTCAAGATTTTTCTTGGTTGAGGTGCCAGTGCTATTAGCTGCCGAATGCAAAAAGAACGACCTACATATCTTGAAAACTGTAGAAGTGGTTAAGGCCTCGGACGGACAGAATAACATGAGTTGGAAAATGCGCTAAAAATACAGGTTGTTAATTAATGGCATGCAGATATTGCAGGGGGTGGCATCAAAATAAGAAAAAAATGCAAATATGTGCGTGATCTAAAGGACGCAATTTTTGTTATACAGGGTGGCAAAGTTTCAATTTTGTTCTCGTGTTTTGCGTTTTCTCTCTTATGTTCTGGGATAATTGTTTCAAATTTCATACATCAATTATTTGTTAGAGTCTCTACAATAAAGTATCAAAATAGTTGGTCGCAATATACAGAGTGTTGCATTTTATTAGTCACCCTGTATAACAAAAACGACGGCTTTTAGGCCATGCATATATTTGAATTTGTTTCTTATTTTGACGAGTATCACCTCTTGAAATATCTGCATGACATTAATTAACACCCTGTATAGGCGTTCATTTATTACTAGCGAACTTCGTACCGCCTATCAGACAATGTCCCGCTAATTCCAATTCAGCAGAATTGAACATTAGGTTACCTATTTGTAGGTTAATGTGTTCTCACATTTTTTTGAAAAGCAAAGTTGCACAAAAATGCTACAGAGTTTTCTGAAGGGATAACGCGTCTGCTTTTTATGAATATGAATATCCCGTGTACCGATTTTTGGTCCGTCAGTCATTAAACATGAGTAATTTTTGGGCCCTTTCTTGTCTGCGGCGTAAGCGACGGGTTACGCCGCTTACGCCTAAAACCGGCCCTGCCATCAATGTAATACCCTTCCAACCTCGCTTCCAACTCTGACCCAGGAATCCATTTTGAAGAAATCGCTGTAACCGTGCGCATTTTTCTAAAATATTTAAGTGATGAATAAAAATGAAAATGAAAAAGTTAAGGCAAGTCTTTCCTTTAAAAGCATGGCAAATGCCCTGGCTTTGGAGGGTGCTCGTGAAGGGCTCCCAGGGGCAATTATATTATTTATTAATTAATAATTATATAATAGAATTATTAACCACGTTGTCGTCAGAAGAAGACACTTTTTCAGTTATTAGATGGATACTAGCATTGGTTGAAAGACAATTTCCATTCACAAAACACAGGTACTTGACTAAGTGCAAAAAATTGTGAACGAGTCAAAAATAAAGGAAAAATGCTCAAAAAATGACATCAGATCTAGCGATAAGTGTTTTACGCTGTCTTTAAAAAGACAGACGTCACGACTTTGTAACGAGAGCATTTAGGTTTGGATTTCGGTAAAATCGTATAGGCTTTTGTTTTTTAATAGCCTTTGGCTGCTTCCAGTGACGTTTTAGTATTAGATTTCACATCCTTAACGGGCTATATTGAATTACATTAGTGAACTCGTCATGAGAAATAAACTCGTACCGTGGAAAATGATGAACGTGCGTTTTTTGAATTGATTAACGACCTTTAAACCCATGTGGGATTGGTAGTAAAAAAGACACTAACCAATGAGACGCCTCCATTTTGTGTAAAAATCCGCCATTGTGGGTGTTTAAAACTTAACCAAATAATTAAGGGGGAACGAGTCCGATTAAAAAATAAAGGACACGTCTTAGTAGCAAAAAGGAAGTACATTTTTTGTTTATTTTTTGGAGAGAAAAGTTTAGGGCCCAGCTTAGAAAGTTTGAAATGATTTTCCTATAAAAAGCAGTATCGCGTGTTTGTTCTAATACATGGAAGAAATTTTCGGTGATAGAACGACGAATAGTGGAAAAAAACCAAGTTCGAAAGTTTAAAGCATATTCAGTGCAACAGGCCGTTTATATTGACGAAAAAATACATGGGCTATCGCTGAATGTAAAGAAAATGACGAACAATTAAATTTCGAATGCAATTGCTACCGTCGCATACGAGAAGAATGTTTCATTATAATAATAATTTCGCTATAAAAAAATTGATGAACTGAAAAATTGAATGAACTTATTATTAACTCTTATTTTTTCGTAATAAATCGAAAAACCCCAATCAGCACAGTAAAGTGCGAGTTTTGTTAAATATTGAACTTCTCTCCTATTCGGAAATATAATAACAAAAAGTTCCCATTGTTCTTCCAATCAATTCATTACCACAGTTATATTAATTACCATTGTGGTTTGTTTGTATCTCTAAACACGAAGATATGCCAGAAATCAACTATGTTCAAAACAGCCACCGAGGCACCGCACCGACAGTCCCGTTTCGACTACTAATGGTAGCTTCTTTTGCGTCAAAGTTCACGAAATCCTTACTCACTTCACTTCACCTTCATTTCTGTTACCAGCAGTACGTTATCAACCGACCTCGATCCGCGCTATCGTATGCGATCAACTTTCCAGATTCTATTTCAGTGGATCTTACTTTCATTCTTATTGTCTTGTCCTAGCTAGTGCATTTTCCCGGAGAAAAATCCCTGGATGGCTTAAAAAACCGTTTTTTTTAAATGTTCTGTTTTAATTTTATATAAGTAGGTCAGGCTATCTAAAAATACGCAAACAAGCGGTAAAGAAAGATAATTGAGAGAGAGAGAGAGAGAAGAGAGAGAGAGAGAGAGAGAGAGAGAGAGAGAGAGAGAGAGAGAGAGAGAGAGAGAGAGAGAGAGAGAGAGAGAGAGAGAGAGAGAGAGAGGAAGAGAAGTGAAAGAGAGAGAGAGAGAGAGAGAGAGAGAGAGAGAGACGAGAGAGAGGAAGTGAGGAGAGAGAGAGGAGAGAGAGAGAGGAGAGAGAGAGAGAGAGGAGGAGAGAGAGAGAGAGAGAGAGAGAGAGAGAGAGAAGAGAGA